CAAAATAAAATAATAAATATTTTTTTATTTTACTTTGTTATATTAATTTTATTTTTTACCTACGTGACTTTACCAAAAAAACATAAGGGTTCTCCTGTTCTCTGATTGGCTCAAACAGGCCTTCATCTCCGATGGCTTTCTGACGCTGATCTCTACTGGTGGAACGAAGGCATTCGCTTTCGGAGCTCTGCCATTCTCTCCACGGAACAAGCAACTTGTTGATTCCCGACTTTGCGGTGTCTATTTTATAGACCCTGAATTGGGTGATGAGATAAGCCGATCCCACACCGGGATATTTATATCGTGTGACTCTTTCTGATCGTGGGTCGAACGTTCTACACTGCAGTGCCACATGGCAGTCAGAAATGTGTATATGCAACCAGTTGTGGAAATGTCAAAATAGGTGTGATGTTGCAAGTATTATGTATGGCTCTATTGGGAGTGTGTTTTACTGCCTTTGGTGTTGTCTGTGCAGAAGTTGCACTCATGGTCCAGTGAGTGTGCACGACATCGGGCCGGAAGACGGGTAACAAACGTGTGTGTTTAGGAATGCTGCATTGATGAAAAACGAGAACAGGCATAGATCGTATTGAGGGTCAGGAAATAATAATTTCACTTGGGGTAGTGCGGAGCAAGCAAAATAAGAGAGCTGTGGATACATAACGGTGCAGTTATATTAATGATACCTTTTTGCCAGTATCAACAAATCTTAAAAAAATTGAATATGTTTAACCCTATTGGCAATGAAACAGGAGGTGTTAACATGCTCATACACCAAATAGGTACCTTTTTTGCCACACATATGTGGCAAAAAATCCAAACAAACGTGCCTTGATAATATATGCATTTTCTTTTAAACTGATTGGCTTATACCAGACAGCCTTTTTCATGGACTTGTTTCACCAGCGTTAGACCAGAGAACTCCAAAAGGGCGAACAGTACAGAGACAATGCAAGTATCAGGGCACTTATAGCTTGGGTTGAGCAGTTATATCTATGAAACCTTTTTGCCAGTAATTAAACAGGTGTTAAGAAAATGGTGCAAGTGGTTCCTTGGAATCAATTAGAAAATTAGCACATGCTCTTATTGTCTGTGGGCCCAATTCACTCGGCTATCTTGGTTGTCATTCCACCTCTTGTTCGCTGTGCTCCAGCCGTTTTTACATAAAATCGGATCCGTTCTCGCATTTGGTGATTCACACGAGGCCAATGCCACGCGACACACCAGCCAACGCCACGTGACACACCGGCCAACGCCACGTGACACACCGGCCCCACCGCTCATGTGGCGGCCCAGAGCGAGTAGCGGGTAACGACAGAACCAAAGGTGGTGCAAACAGAACAATCTTCCTTCAACAGCCACTGGCCAAGTGGCTGAAATTTCACATTCAAAAATTTGGAGCCGGATAATAGGAACTTTTGTGGACCCTACAGCTGCCAAGGTTAATTGGAGTCATGGACGATAGGGTCTTGAAGAAGAGAAGCTCCACTTTATTAACGTTGGAATATACAACGACGTGAAAGTGCCTGACCGTAATGCCTCTCAATCAATCATGAAACGTATTCCTTGATTGGTCTGTCAATGGCTTTACTGACCATCCGTGAGTCCTTGGAGAGACAATGGGTTCTCGGATCCAGAGACCTTGGGAATATCTGCAAAGAAGAAACATTCATGGAAAAAAAGCAGTGCAAAACACAAACAAAACCCATTGTCTCTGTTTTCTATTGACGTTTAGCGCAAATGCATTTTTTATTCCCGATAAACTTTTGATGGACATTCTGGCATGCCAATGGATTTTTTGTTATTGTTCATGTTGCTGCTCAAAGTCTCTCATGGGCAGGGCTTCCAGTTGATGACATCGCACTCCTTGTCAATGTTTTACCGCTGTTGCCAGTTGGGCTGCACATGTATATCTCCTGATGTGCAATGCGTACACTGCAGGAGCCACTTGTAAGTCCAAGTGTGAGGTTTCAAATAGGTAATTACGCCAGGTCTGTCGAGGTGACCTCATTCAACTCCTGCAGATGCACCGCAGGAGTGCGTGGTGGAAGCTCGGGAGAAGAAATAAGTTAATATGCAGGCCAATCATACTTGGATTAAGAGAGGATAAGTTGAAGCTGTTCGGTAGTTGACTCAGACTATCACCCCTTAGGTGTTGTTAAAAATTAATGCCGGTTTGTGGAATTGAATAATGGTGCTTAACCATGCATTGATTCATCGGTTCATTCGAATAGATTATTGCACTTACAATATAAAGATGCAATCATGTATTCTAAAATATATTTTTTATTTAAATACCATTATGCAAGTTATCGGGAGAGGTGGTGTCGCAGTGGTTAATGCACCGTGCCATGTCACCTGAATTTGATTCCAAGCAATGGTTAATATCGGTGGTGACGGATATCTGAATCAGTCACAGGTCCACTTTGCATTCCTGCACTGACAAGCATGCTGAAGTATGAACATGTTTTTTTTTATAACAGCCAAATACTCGAAGCACGTGTTTATAAATGTGGTAGGAAAAACCGGAGGACCCGGAAAAAATACAAACGACCACGGGGAGAACATGCAAGCTCCACATATACAGGCATCAGTGTCGGGATCGAACCTACGCGTTCCCGTATACCAGGCGAGGTAGCTAACATCTCGCCACTGTGGCATCCACAAGTATAGTTAAACAACCCCCATGACTGGCACGGAATGTTCGAGGCCACCAGCGCATTGACAAATGGCTGTAAATAATTTTTGTTTATTATTTGTTGTCCAAATTATTTGCCAATATTACATTTAAGCTAATGGGGCGAGTGCAATACAACTGAGACAAAAGAAGAATTAGACAGTAAAAAGTAGAGGAGAAAAAAAACTAATTCACAATTGAATGAAATTACTTCCATGAATCACGCACGGTTGAATCGCTAGGGGAGTGGTGTCGAGGAGTGACTTATTACGTAGCTAAGTGTCATGGATGTCCTCGCCATAGTAATGTGGAATTCCCACAACTGGCTTAGAGGTTCACTAACAGAGGAGAGTACTGCCCAGTGCTCAATGGATTATGGGGATATTCTAAAAATAACCTAATGATGAGGGCTGCCAGTGATAGATATTTGGATGGTCGGCATACTTAGCTTACTGAACTTTGTACTAATGAGTCATTGGTATTGACATCGCAGTGTGAACTCTCATCCTCCAGGTTTCACATTTAATTAATATCACACACTCAGATTGCGGTTATGAATGACCTCCTTGTCTCATGTTACAGCTTTTTGGAATAATAAAAAAGAAGCTTACTTGCTACAATTAGTCATTATACAACAACACAAAACAGGCTACAAAATCTGCGTGTGCCTTAGAAACGTGGCGTATAACGGAGTATAGAGATGCTGTGTTCATTAACGATAGGGCTCGGAGATGGTGTTTGAGGTACGGGAAATGTCTTTTTTACCGATTCAAAATTGAGTTTTGTGTCAGGTTTACTTACGTCAATTGTGTTGTCGTACACCCTCCTCCATTCGATACAGCCAATGAATGTATGTGTATGTTGATATTCTTTCTCACCACACGTAGCCAACCGTGCTAATTGTGGGTGCAGTGTTGAGTCTATGGGTATTGTTAGTCTATGGGCAATATGTATGTTGAGCTTCTTTCGCACCGTACGTAGCCAACCATGCGAATCGGAGGTGTGGGAAAGAAAGAAAGTTTCCACTGTTGTATCACAACCGCCAATGCTGCCATCTGCTCAATAAAGCATGGACACAAGTAGACACTGTTTCATCCCGTGAACATTATGACACTCGTTATTCTCATGCTGAACATTTATATTTTGCATCACAAGTTTAACACGTAGACTTTCACGACCGATATTATTCATAATAAAGGTTTTGGGTTAGATCACACAGCCAGTAAGGTTTGTCACGTAAACAAAGCACCAATTATTTACTACTTCAGACCACCGGTGTGTTGGAGAGTAGATCCACAACATTTACAATTTGAATACGACGTTTAGCTGGTTATTAAAACCAGCAATATTGGGCGATTTGCCAGAATAGTGAAGCAATCCGCCAGCTTTCGGTCTTAAATAGAGCAAGATGACGTCATCACTGAACCCATCAGGTGCAGAGATCAGAGGCGGAGGTGCGGATATTGTAATTATATAATAGATTAGTGCGGCCTGGAAGCGTATTATTAAGTCAAACATCTTACAACTACAATTCCTTACAGAGGAAACACATGTTAATGAACTGATTACTAATCTATACTATACACTACTAGACACTGCTATACATTACTATACACTACTGCATTATATACTGCTACACTATACACAGACTATGGGTTTTCCTGGGGAATTCCCAGGCATTCCCAGACCAGCCGAGCGACATCATCCTGCCAGCGTGATGTGATTGTAATTATGCCAGGCAGTTTTTTTTCCTGCACTGATTCTGCTGAAGGCACAATGAACAATGTGGTGACACTGAGAAATTAGGAATGTGGTGAGATTGAGAAATGAAAAATGTGGTGATATTTTGTTAACTTAGCGTAAATCACCTCCGTGTGATTTATAACCGATTCACCATGACTAATTGTGTATATATGTTCAGAAGATTAATGAATACCGATGTTGAGGTCTGCTCGCCACAAGAGGGCTTCAGGAGAGTTTAGTTTAGTTACACCAACTCATTGTATTGATCGTGAAAGAATAATTATGAGTTCATCCATGCGCTGAGTTTTGCTGTTCTTCCGTTAAAGGAGTGCAGACTAAGGTGTTTCATGGCCACAATCACGCTGAGGTATCCTTTTCGCAGTGGCCCACCTGTTCCATTGTTTTCGTGTCCACCTTTTAAAAACAACTCATACCATCATCAAGGCAACATGGATGCCATTAATTCGTATCCATATAAGATCAGTCGAGCTGATGCATTGATTTCTTGAAGTGAATTTCTAAAATGTTAACACGTAACTTACATTAACTCCAAGTGTCATTCAATTGTATTTTTTTACAGGTTAACGGGCATGGATCTACCTGCTCCACTCATCAGCAATAAGAACTGGCTGCGATTGCACTTCACGTCTGATGGAAATCACCGGCGCAAGGGATTCAGTCTCCAATACCTAGGTAAGACTGAGCAACATCACTCAAAGTCGAAAGAAGTCGAAGTGATTTCACGTGGGAACGAGCTTTTGAAATGCTCATCTCCTGTTTACACCGCTGAGACTGTGGTGGGAATTCCACATTGATGTGGCAGGGGCGAGTCCTTCCATAGGACAACCACCGTTGACTTGACCATGCAGTGTTATTCGTCATATTGACACCCAGAGGGGTCAATGGTCTGAGTCAACCCCCGACCCAGGACACGAACTCGTAACGTTCTGATTGCAAGCCGCTCGCTCTCCCGCTGAGCCACTTGGCCGGATGATAAACATTTTTTAAATCTAGATTGAAAACTCATTTCTTTAGAACTGCTTTTTGTGTTTAGTTTGTTGTGCATCCCCCGTACCACCGATGAGCACAGTTGGCTGTGTATACATACAGTCGCTGCATGAGCATTTATTCTATCGAACTGAATGTGCATTCATACCATGTAACTGCATGGTCCAATGAAGCGCAGTCTGTGTTGCAGTTCCTCCTGTTTTGATACTTAATAACATGAAAGAACAGACACCTGTGTCTGCGCCAAACACCAACACCTAACACTGAGAATGTGATTATTTAAGATTGGGTAAAGCAGCTTATGAGTGTTGTATATAACGTGCACGGAATACACTGTAGATGTAATGAAGATGTGGAGGTTGCGATGGGTGGGTTGTGCGTGTCATTGGAGCGGCACCGCAGGACCGGTGATCAAGGCAGAGACCTAAACCCATGCTTCGGGATCTTTTAAAACTCTCCAACGGCCAATGGCTCTAGCATACAGATGTTCAAGTTTCAAGTTTATCGTGTTTAACTAGGTGAGAGCTCAAGAGGTTAAGATGGTCTAATTTGCCAGAGTGACCAGGGGCATTATTAGTCTGCCAGACGGGGCTACAATATGTATGATGATAATTGAATAATTTGCGAGTAATTTGCGAGTTTGGCAAATATGGACCCTCACGCCCGCCACACGATAATGGCCTTTGTCTCCTAACTACAAGCACACGTGCACTCTGCACGGGTGCATTTAAATCTTGTGTATATATGTATCATAGACAGCCAAGGCCAAAGTAAAACTAAATATGTTTTCATGTATTGTTGAAGGAAATTGCTGCACTTGAGAAGCTGGTTTATTCATGGGCGGGTGCCAGGCATTCGAATCCCAGGATGTCGGCAGTGCTACCTCAGTGCCCCTTGTTCAGGAATTCGCCCCCTGAGCCATCTTGTGATTAGCACAGTTGGCTGCGTACGCTTGAAGTACCGGTGAAGACGCTTGACGCCGAGGTTGAGGCACACGTATATTTATTTCACAATACGACAGTGGGCATATACACACTCGAGGGGGTATCGGCCCCCTCACCCGTATAACTCGGGATACACCCCTAGCTAACTCTGTCCTAGCCCCGAATCCTCCACTAATGGGCTAGGGGAGGCTAACTGGCCCGACACTGGTAAGTCGGGCCCGGTACCCGGAGTTCCAGACCAGCTCTTACAAGAGCACCGGCTCTGGCTTTCGGGACCACGCCGCTGGCTCAGTCCTGTCCGGCCCTGAAAAGGACATCGAACTAGGGGAGTCCAGGGCTCTATCTAAGACGTCTTCAGTCTTCTTCCCTTAGCTTAAACATAACTCTCTCGAGCCCTTTGAACATCCCCTTTTATACCCAACCCCTCCCTGAGGGGTGGGGCCCCGGGGGATCATAACGTTCGAACCAGCCCCCCCCAGGGTGTCTGGCTCGGACGTCGCAGAGGGCACCTCCTCGTGCACTTACGTAGCCCCGCCCACTGTGTTTGTTTTCCATAGGCTGCCATGCATAACGGGCCCTCTCTTTAACACCCCTACATCACCCCCCCCCCCCCCCCCCCCGCATAGCTTGCAGCCGTCCCGTCTGCCAACATACAAAAATGACAATAAAAGTGCATTTACACCTCGACCGCGCGTGTGCCTCACTATTTTTCAACAATAACAAGAACAGCAACAAGAACACAACAAAATGCAACAGCAAGAAGAGAAAACAACCCGACGCACCCCCCCATTGAATAAATACGAATTCCGTAAAAAAAAAAAACCTATATACAATTTGCAGGGAACCCACCATACACACAACACCAGGTGAACCCAACGTATGTACATTTCAATGGGCAGGGAACACACCACCCACACAACACACAATGAACCCAACATATGTACATTCAATGGGCAGGGAACACACCACCCACACAACACACGATGAACACAACCTATGTACACATCTTCCGGCCTCATAACAGTCTGCGCATTTTTGCGCGCGTCCTTGCAGCGGGCCCCTCACACGGGGTAACCCCGGGTGGCGGACCGTCAGGTGGCAATTGTCCGTCCCGGAGTGAGTCCTCATCCGATGCCGCGCGACCGTCGGTATCCCCAGGAGGGGTGGTCGGGCGTGAGCCCGTCAGTCCTGATGCACCTGGAGGTGGCACGGCCGGCAAGGCTTTAGGTGAGAACGACGGAGACGGACCCAATGAGTCGGTCGACCCCCCACACGTTTGGCCACGCATGTGTGAAGTGGGTTTGTGTACCGCAACGAAGGGTTTTAACCTAGAGGGGTGCACGAACCATCGCCGCTTCCCCCATTTAATGCGCACGCACTGTGGTCGCAAAACTTCGACCACCTCCACAGGGCCCCGCCACGGCCGCACCAGCTTAGAGGAGGTAGCCAGTGGCACTTGGGGACAGTGCAGCCATGCCTTGTCCCCCGGCTTCCACTGTATCATGTGCGCCCGACCCAGCCTGAGGCGCTCATTCGCCTTTTGACGGAGGTCCGAGTTTAGCATTGCAGCATCCCGCGCCTCTGTTAATTTGGCCAGATTAAATTTGACGTGGTCAGCCAATTTAGTTTTCCCTTGCGGCTCGGGGATCTGCAGCTGGGCGCGAACAGGCGGGTCGGGTTCGCGACCGTACATGAGGTAAAAGGGGGAAAATCCCGTAGCTGCATGGGGTGCCATCCGGTATGCCGCCAAGACCCCTTGAATATGCAGGTCCCAGTCAGTCTGTGAGTCCGAGACCTGCTGTGACATCATTGACGTAATGGTGCGATGCAGGCGCTCGACCATCCCGTCAGTTTGCGGGTGATACGGGGAGGTACGAATTTTCTTCGTGCCTAGGAGGTCACAGACTTGTTTGAGTAATTTACCGGAAAAATTTCTGCCCTGGTCGGTCAGCAGCCGCTCCGGAGCACCTTTGTCCAGGACGTATCCCTGAACAAAGGCCTCCACGATGGCTGCTGCCGACTGGTTGGCCAGGGGCCAGGCCATAGGCCAGCGTGTAAAATACTCGACACCAGTCAACAAATACCTATTGCCCCTGGGGGTGGCGGGAAATGGGCCCAAAATGTCCAGCGCGACAAGCTCATTTATTCTGGACACTTTGATCGATTGCAAGGGCGGGTTAGACTCCCGCGCCGGCGGTTTCCGTTGCGCACACCGAGGGCATGATCCCAATAGATCTCCAACATCCCTCGTCATGCCAGGCCAAAAAAAATCAAGTTGTAGCAGTGCAAGAGTCTTTTGGGTCCCCAGGTGTAATAGGCGCTCATGCGCGGCCCACACCACCTTGCCTCGCAACCCAGAAGGGACCACCAGCCGATGTCGCTGGGATTTGCCGTCCCAATGCATCAGCAGACCTTGCACCATTTCCCATGCATCCGAATCACCCTTCACACGCCCAGCACCCCCGACGCGACGACGCCACCCGAGGAGGGAGGTATCCTCCATTTGGAGGCGCCCCCATTTAGTGACGGGCAACCCCAACAGGGAATCTCTTCCCTGTTGTTCGATCGAATTAGTAACCAATGGTTCGTCGTCATCGGTGGCTGCCAAGATCGGAACCGATGCGTCCCCTGAAGGCCTGCAACGTCCCGACCCCAGGAGGCATGCACATTCGGAGGTGGTTGGCATGCGCGACAGAGCGTCCGCATTCGTATGGCGAACGCCCTTACGGTAGGTGGTTTCAAAATCAAAGTCCTGGAGAACCTCCAACCATCGAGACAACTGTCCCGATGGTTGTTGAACTCGCAGGGCATACAGTAGTGCCGCATGATCTGTGCGGACGGTGAAATGCCGACCGTACAGATATGGGCGATACTGTTGGATGAAATAGACAATTGCCAACAGTTCCCTACGGGTGACACAATATCTTTGCTCCGCAGGAGACAACACCCGACTACCGTACGCGACCACCCGTTCCACGCCATCAACCACCTGAGAAAGCACACCCCCAATACCCGTGTTGCTCGCATCGGTGTCGAGCAAAAAGGGCTTAGAAAAATCTGGGTAAATCAAGGGAGGGGCTTTTACCAGGGCGTCCCGAAGGGAGCAGAAAGCAGCCTCCTCCTCTTGACCCCAGTGGAACCGAACCCCTTTAGATGTTAAAGCGTGCAGGGGTTTTGCAATTGTCGCAAAATCAGCGACGAACCGTCGGTAATACGACGCGAACCCAATGAAACTCCTGACCTCTCCCACCGAGGTGGGAGTCGGCCAGGAGCTGACACACTGCGTTTTGGCGGGATCGGTAGCAATACCTGAGCGTCCCACGATGTGCCCCAAATAACGCACCGAATCGCGCAACAAATGGCATTTTTGGGGCTTGAATTTCAAATTAGCAGCCCGCATCTTTAGGAAAACCGCCCGCAACCTCTGGAGATGTTCGTCAAAAGTTTTACTAAAGACGATAACGTCATCCAAATAAATGAGGCATGACTCCCATTGCAATCCAGCCAAAACCAATTCCATCAAACGCTGGAAAGTTGCCGGCGCTGAGTGTAAGCCCATCGGCAACCGGTTGAATTGGAAAAGGCCATGCGGTGTACGGAAAGCAGTTTTAGGCTTTGAATCATCGTCCAGAGGAAGCTGCCAGAATCCCGAAAGTAAATCCAGTGTGGAAAAGAATCGCGCTCCCGCCAAGGCGTCCAGCGATTCATCCATCCGAGGGAGTGGGTATGCGTCGGCAACCG